CATAATATGCTGAACTCTTGGTCTGAAAAAAAAACCTTTTTTACTTGGGCACCACAAGTTTAAAGTGAAGATCAAAAAATGACCTTGTGCTTTTATATTCACCCTTCATCTGCAGGATTTTACATAGTAGAGCCACGGAAATCTTTTTCTTCTTTAAAAAATTTTTTTGAAATTACTTTTATTGTTAAATGAAATGCATGTACAGAAAATCAGCATATGACATAATACATTTTATGAGTTGTTACCCTATAACCTCTATCCAGGCAAAAAAATTCAGTCATCCAGTAGCCACTCCATGTGTCCATCTCAGTCATACCTGCCTCACCCACCAATGCAACCTCCAAATGATTTCATAACAATCTCACCTGCATTTCTCTATAGCTTTATCACTTAAAGGGCATCCCTGGACATTATGATTTAGTCTCATTCTTCCTGCATTGTACGATTCAGAATCTGTTAAAGGTTCTGGGTGTTTTTTAAAAATTAATTTATTTTTTATTGAAGGATAATTGCTTTACAGAATTTTGCTGTTTTCTGTCAGATCTCAACATGATTGAAACTCCCTCCCATCTCCCTTCTCATCCTACCTCTCTAGGTTGATACAGTTGCTGTATGGCTCAGGAAACTCAAATGGTCTCTGGGTCCTGGGTGTTTGACTTATAGTTTCTTCTAGTCTGCATGTTGCTGTTTGCATATTGTGGTGCTGTTTTGCCTGCTTCTCTATCATCAGAGCTTTCTGCAAACTCGTTGAGAGGCTTGATCAAATTCAGGTTTGGTCCCTTCGGCAGGAACATGGATGGTGGTGGTATATTCCTTCATTAGGAGGCACCTCCTGCCTCCTAATTTGTCTTTTGTGATATTAGCAGCTGTATCAGCTGTTGATCACGGAGATCTTTGCATTTCATATCATCTTTCTTAGCGCTGTTTGATTTAATTCAAATTTAAACCGAATGAAATGTTTTTTAGACTTGCAGGCTCTTGCCACGTACTGCAGAGAAGTGAAAACCCCAGATGACTACTAGAAGTCAGAGAAATACAGGTTCTCTTCTAAATTCAGCAAGCGCTGAAAACCATCATGACGAAATGTCTTATCACCTCCTGACTGTTATTTTGACCCTGGCCATTTGCAGCCTTTGGGACCACCAGAGCAAAGATGTGTCCAGTGTTGTAGGGTCAGAACCTCTCTCCCAAAGGGAGGTGTGAAGCCCTGTTCGTACTCTTAATCTACTTAAACCTTAACATCCTTATGAAGGACTTGATACCAACAGAGGAGATTACCTAGTGACCTCACCTTTATGAACAAATCACAGTATTTAGGTGTAATGATAAAGCATTTAACAGTAAATATTTTGCTGAAATCCTCCTTTAGCTAGGGCATTAACTAGCAATCATTTTCCATTCTCAGAGTATTCACATAGTGAAACTGTAATGGAAAAAGAGATTTTATTAGGCTTTATTAGATTTGATTAGGCTCCTATTAGGAGTACTTATTAGGCTTCACAAGCCCGTGACTTAGAGCCTAAGAAGGTTCAGTTTCTCATTCCCTGTGAATGGTTTGACTCTGGGTCCTCATGTTATTGTTCAGCTCCAGGGACTGGAGCATGCTTGCCACTAGGGGACGCTGTTGCTTTTCTATGCCCACCTCTGGCAATTTCCATTCTGACCTTATCAGGCTTAACAGAAAAAAAGGAGGCTTTATTCTTCCACAGTGAGTTTGTTCTCCAGAGTAAGTGGAATCTGTTGGAACAATACAGAACAAAACAAAGTGGCTAGTAAATGAAACACCCTTGTTAAAATGTTTTCCAGTATCTCTCTGAGATGGAGCAGAACCGCTTCTTGATATCATCAGTGGTCTAATATTAATAGTTTCATGAGGGTTTGGGGATAATAACAGATTTTAAAGTGCCACCTCAGAAACTGGGGGCTAGTGGGGGACAGAACACAAGCTAACTCCTGTGTTTAGCAGGAGAAGGGGAGAGATGTCTGCAAGTGTGACTTGCAGACTCTTCCATAGTCTGGCAAAAATCTGCTTTCCCTTCTATCAATTCAGTGTTGGCTCAGACACAATTTTGCCAAAGCCTGTCACATTTACCAGCTTTGAGTGTTGTTAGAAATACATGTTCTGTGGTCACATGAATTTGGGAAATCTAGTTTGAAAAAGTTTTAAAAAGTTTTACTTGGGGTCAGACTTTCAGAATACTTAATTGACATTACCCTGGGCATGGCACTTTGTGAATCTAGGGCCGAGCATTTGCTAGGGGTAGACACTAACAGTGGTTCTCAGTGGAGGGTCCTGGTTTTGCCTCCTGGGGACATCTGACATTGCCTGGAGACATTTTTGATTGTCATGACTGGGGAAGGGTGTTATGACCATTGAGTGGGAAGAGACCAGGTTGGCTGTTGTCTTCCAATGCACAAGACAGATCCCTCACCTCCCTCTACCAACAAAGAATGATCAAGCTCCAAAGGTCAGCAATTCAGAGATTGAGAAGCCGTGCTCTATAATAGACACGTGACTGATAAGTTGCTTTAGGCGTGTCTGACTCTGTGTGACCCTATGGACTGCAGACAGCCAGGCTCCTCTGTCCATGGAATTCTCCAGGCAAGAATACTGGAGTGGGTTGCCATTCCTTAATCCAGGGGATCTCCACCCAGGGATGGAACCCACATCTCTTATATCTAATCTGCATTGGCAGGTGGTTTCTTTACCGCTAGTGCCACCTGGGAAGCCCATAATATACACAGCTTGTTACATTCAGCTGCAAAATTATTTTTTCTGAACGTGTTTTGTAGCACTAGGGGGTAAAATGTGTGGGGAAACTCTACCTTCAGTTTATCCACAGTTTCCATTATGTTTTAATTGCTGAGCAGTGCGGTCTTCCCTTAATACTCCTTCTCTTTGACCTCCATATGGCACTTGTCTTCATTGACTGGCCTGACCTTGAAATCACCCTCAACTTGACAATGAATTGTTTGGTTTTCCTTCTCCTTCTGTAACCTCTCTCCTTCTGGTTTTGGCTTTTCTCCTTCTTCTTGCTCCAGAATAGGGGCATTTTTTGTTGTTTTATTCTTCATTGTAATGAGTTTCCTATGACTTTAGTTATGTACCCTCTGCCAAGATACTTTTTTCCCAAAGACATCTACATTTCCAGTTCTGTGTTGCATACTTTATCTAAAATAAAAAAAAAAATGTCCTTTTTCTAAAACCACTTTTTTCTCTTCAACTTCCTATTTCCCTGTTTCATTAATTTGTTCTTAAATTCTTCCAATTTTCTCAGTCAATCAGACACAAGATTACTTTCAATCATTAAGCCCTGTGAAACCTCTGGTCCTTTGTCTTTCTCTTCTCAAAAGAGGCCTCAATTGCCCCTTGTCTGATTACTGAAATGAATTCCAAATCACACTTTCTGCTTCTCCTGCTTATACTTTCCATGTAGCCTGCACACTACCAGTGTTTAAATCATGCTAAAACATCACTTTTATTCTTTTCTTAAAACTTCCAAAGGGTGAGTTCCCATTATTCTTTGAATAAAGTCCACACAACTTTTGCTGGTAATCAAATTTCCCACAGTGTGGCTTCCACCTATACTTGAAACTTTTGTTCCAATTGCTCTCCACTGAAACTCTAGAAAGAAAAAACACTGTTCGTATGACAGCAAAGCTGTGGAAATGGGCAAGCGCAAAGCCCTTGGTGAGAGGAAGTTTTTGTAAAATTTTTACATTTAATTTCTGCAATACATTGTCTGGAAACTGAACAATGCAAATTCTAGATTATTGCAGATACATTTGTATTTATGACTCATCCTCTGTACTAAGGATATGCCATGAAGATAAAGAAGGATGTTACTCAAGGCTTCCATCTGTCAAAGCCCCTAGCCTGTATTATGCAGCCTTTGTAAATATTTGTTGAGTTTAGAATAAACAAATGAATGAATGCATGTAGGAATGAATGGAAAAACTACTTTGGCAGGTGCTGTTGATATTCTGCAAATACCTGCAAAACTCAAGCTAAGACAGCCACTGAACTTGGAAATGTACATTGCATGCTTAAAGAGAGCCCACAACATTTGGAATTCGTGCACTTGGAGCTGAATTAAAAAAAGATCTTTCAGGAATCAGCATCCTCTTCTCTGTGGCAGAAATTTTTTTCCACACAAATCACTAATGGCTTGAACAAAAGATGGGAAAGTTTTGTCTCTCGAAGACCACCATTAATTTATAAAAGGAGAGTGTGGGGGGGTCGTTTATTATTCAGACATGTTGGATATAAAAAGAAAAAATATTAAAACTGGAAAATAGTCACTAAAGGGATATTTAATTGTAAAATTACTCTAAATTCAAATTTCCTTTCCCACTTCATGCTTATGTCTCTTCTCCCTATGATGTCCTAACAGCAAGCATCAGAATATTTGGCCAAATCATGCAAATAAAACTGTAGCTCAACTTCAAGAGAAAATCTGAAATCTAGCGAAAATGCAGCCTTTTGTGAAATCTGTGAAAATGATGTTGGAGAACTGCTAGAATCAATGCAAAGCCATGGAAAGTGAGGATCTGGCACAATAAGACAAGACAACTGAAGAAGACAAAGTAGACATAAATGATGACTGTGACAAGAACTTTCCAAAGGAGTGATCTGAATATCATAGGGTTAAGGGAAATTCTTGGGAATAATTAGTGATGCCTTTAAATATGTTTGCAAAACACAATGCTCTTTTTGATCATTCTTCACATGAAGAAATGTATATTATATTGTGTTAGGCCACACACACACACACACACAATTCCATTCCAGAATTTCCATTTCCATTTTGAGTGACAGAATGGCATGTAAGTTTTTTCTAACACAGTGTCTAATCTCAAATTCTGCTGTATAACCCCTTTTTAGAGAATCATGAAAACATCTGCTTTGTGTGATAAATTGAAACAGGAAGGACGCTTATTCCCTGCCTTACACAGAGTCTCCTTTGGTTGAAAACCACTTAAACATTGAAGTGAGAATATTTTCTGTTTTTCTTGATTTACAGATGTTTCCTCAGAACTATGCTTCCAAACAGTCCCAGCTGACTGTAGCTAAGGCCTGTGCAAATTGATAAGATGCATCTGGCTTCAAGACACAGACTCAGTACAAGGGCAGGTTCTCAGTGTCCCCAGAGAACCCGGTTGGGGTCAGAGCAAAGTCTCGGAACTGCTCGCTTTATATATGAATGCCAAGTGAATCCCCAGCAGACAGAGACAGGCGGGGAGTAGACTGCTGGCCTCTTCCCACTGTTGAAAATTCACTGGGCACTGGAGGAGGACATTTTCCTTCTCTCTGCTGCCCTGAATGTTTTTCCAAACATGAAGGTAAGATAATAACTTCATTACTTTTGTGAACAGAGCTAACTCTAAAGGGAGTAAGGTTTCACTTAAGTAACAAATTAAAAAAAAAAAGAAAAGACATGAGAAAATAGAAAAGAGAAAGTTCTGAGGGTGACTTTTAAGAAATCCTTAATTAAATATATTTAACAATTCAGCTGAAGTAAATTTCTTTTTCTTTTCTTGTAGTTTAGTTTATTGGTTTAGAGGCCTGGGAATCGGAAATTGGAAGCCGTGTTTATGAAAGTCCCAAGAAAGCCATTAAAAAATACAATAACACAACTGTTATTTCTTAGGGAAAAATTTCCTCCAATGTATTTTGTTTGTTTGAATTGGAGTCATGCAATGAATCCCTGTGATTTGACTTATCTAACAGCTTTATAGAAGAGTGAAGTTGGAAACTTGGAACTTTAGAATTTGGAATCTGGATGAAAGGATCAGGATTTTAAGAGCAGAAGATACAGATAAATGGAATGAAGCTAAAGAGTTACCAAAAACACATATTGGCCTAATGCAATATGGCTGAATGTTAAGAAAAAAAAATCTAGGACCAAAGATAGATGTAACTATCATAAACTATGTTTCTGGGATGTAAACATAAGTTGAACCTGCTACTGCAATTTTATTATTGTAAAGTTTTATATTTAAACTTTTAAAATTTTACATTATAATGCTGGAGCAGTAATTTTTCAGCCCTGTCAGCTGCTAGATTGCTTTTGCTGTCACTATGCTACCTAACTACAGTACTGAAATCTGTGCTCACTTTCCAGGGGGATGGAGGAGGACTGAAACATGGGTCTTGAGTATTTTATGTGTGAAACTGCATTTAATTAAGTCATTGAAAATTAAACACAAATCACAAAGTTAATTTGTCAAATGTTATAATGCTAGAGTGCCAAGTAACCATACAAAGTTAGAATTATGATATAATCTAATCTCTATCAATGTGTTTTGTATTTTTATTAAAAAATTTAGAACACTTGCTCACTTAGAATAGGATGCCTTTCCTAGAGTCATCTAGCTAGTATACTTTCTCCTAATATTTGTATTAACTATCAAACAATTTCCTTACTTATTTTATGATGAGACATCTTAATAATTGTTTTATGTTTAAAGACGGGTTCACAGTCATTGATTATTACGATATTTTTCTAACAGGGTAATATATATACTTTTATCTTTCAGTTGGTTGATAAAATGTCAACAAATAAATGATTTCTCTGTGAGCTGCATTCAGAGTTCTCACCTGTTTGAAAGCAGAAACTCATATTTTTACAGTAAATCTGAAGGGTATGCTTTTGTGATACACTATGTTTCCAAGTCTGGCCTTTAAGGAGGAATATTCTTTTGTCTCTTCCCCCATTCATGTGAACTGACTTCAGAGGGGTGGTCCCAGAATTCCACTGGTACTCTTTGTAACCCTTGGATATGATATAATTGGTTCTGAAGTGTTTCGGGACTTTAGAGAAATAAGGATTTCCCTTTGATCTGACTGTGGCACAGACCTTCACTTTTTCATCCCTGGGCTGAGATGAACCTGGGGTTTGTAAACCTGAAGTGTGATTCTCATGGGGCTGGGATGTGTTCAAGCACAATGACGTCTCAGATGACAGTCTCTCTGCTCCCTCACCACAGCCAGAGCTGACCTGACATTATCACCCATCTTCTACCAATTATACTGTGATGGTCTTTGTGTCTTTTAAAAATGTCCTTTTCCAGATTATAGTACTACCATCTTGGTAATTAAGTTCAAAAAGGAGACAATATCTATTATTTCTCCACTCGGAGATAGCCATTGTTAACATTTTAATCTATTTCTTTTCAGACTTTAAAATGAATATGTATAGGATATATTTTGTGACATTTTTATCAATCTAGATCTGAATCTTTTTACTCATTATATCATAAGCATGTTCTCCTGTCATTGATCAAGCTATAATATGCTTCAAATGGCTACTAAGTGCTCAATCATATTATTATGTCATTTTGCATTTCTTTATTGCTAGTGTTACAAATTGATGTTCATTTCTAATAAAGATGCGAGAAGATTTATTTTAAAATCTCCCTCCTTCTTCATCTGTATGGTGCCCTATGTTCTAAATTTACTGATCAACATATTAATTAGGGTATGCTAAGAAATTAGATTGAATTTTTCCATCATTTTTTCCTCTGGAATTTGGAACCTGGTGTATGCTATAGAAATTAGTGTTTTATTTTTACCCTAAATGGGCTCATGGTTCAACAGACAAATGTAAAAGGCCAGATGTGGAGAAATTAAAAGCATAGAGACAGTGGTTGTAGCTGGAAAATGTTAGAGGAAGGAGGCAGAGCTAATGCTTATTCAGTCATAAAGAAGAAGAGAAGAGAACTCTGGGAAATGTGGCTCCAGCTTAGCTATATTACACACTGCCAAGATACCATATCTTTTTTTGTTTTCAAATTTTATTTATTTATTTATGGCTGTGCTGGGTCTTCGTTGCTGCATGAGGGCTTTCTCTAGCTGTGGTGCACCAGCTTAACTGCCCTTTAGCAGGTGGGATCTTCCCAAAGCAGGGATCGAACTCATGTACCCTGCTTTGGCAGTCGGATTCTTAACCACTGGACCACCAGGGAAGTCCTGTATCTTTTCAACTAAGGAATTCTATTACAGAGTTAACTCAGATGTATGTCTATTTCTGTCGTTAATTTGCTTATTAATTTGTAATTGTCTTATCATGTCCATTTGATGAGATACTCTTTCCAAAGGTAAGGAATGATAACTGCTTCATTTTCAGATACCCAGGTGGCCAATTTTCAAGAAATTCTTTTGATTAAGAGGTTCAGCTTGTCTAACTCAAGAACTAGTGATAAGCAGATCTTCATGGGTTATACTATGTATATGAGGAAATGGGTTTCCCTGTGGTTCAGTTGGTAAAGAATCTGCCTTCAATGTGGGGGAACTGGGTTTGATCTCTGGGCTGGGAATATCCCCTGGAGGAGGGCATGGCAACCCACTCCAGTATTCTTGCCTGGAGAATCCCCATAGACAGAGGAGCCTGGTGGGCTGCAATCCATGGGGTCACAAAGAGTTGAACATGACTGAGCACACAGCACATGTGGAATATAGTGGCAAAACTAGTTCTTATGAGAGTGAATACCCTAAAACTTCATTGACATTAAAAAAATACGTGGTAGAATGTTAAGATGGATTTTTTTTCATGATGCTTGTTTTGGCTGAGAGTCAAAGGCNTCTTAAAATATATTATTGAAAGTTAGTATCTGATATAAGGCTTTGGAACCAGTCCATATTAACCACAGAAAGTTGTGCACATAGAGATCAGGTGATGAATATAATAATTTATTATGAAACTACCAACAGAAACAAGTTAGGGTCATTTCAAAACTTTGAACTTTGACATTTACACAATGGCACTAATTAACTAGGTTCATTGTAATGCATTTAAATTCAGTCACACTAGGTAACTGAAAATGAGGCAGATTTTGAACCCTAAACAGTGCAACTGGAGTATTTGTGTGAATGCACCACTGGGAAAATCTAACATGTTGTTGCTAATCAATGTCCTTCTCACCTCGTGGTTTTACACGGCTCACGGACAGGGTAAGTGGAAACAGATGTGAACACTCAACCTTCCCTCTAAATATAATTATCTACTTTCCTTTGTGTTTCTTTCTGTTTGAATCTGGTTAAACTAGTCTGCACTGTGAGATAACCATAAGAATACCTTAATGGAAAAATTATCAGATATTCACCTGCTGCTGCTGCTGCTAAGTCGCTTCAGTCGTGTCCGACTCTGTGTGATCCCATAGACGGCAGCCCACCAGGCTCCCCGACCCCTGGGATTCTCCAGGCAAGAACACTGGAGTGGGTTGCCATTTCCTTCTCCAATGCATAAAAGTGAAAAGTGAAAGTGAGTTTGTAGAACTATAAAAGGCAGAAGTAGGCAACTAGGATTTTATAACTGAAGGGAAGATACCTAAGAAGAGGATAAGTGATTTAAGAAGGTGAGTGGAAGGGTCTAGAAGAAATGCTGAGAAGCCATTCCACAGCTACTGAGAGAAAAGAGGTTTGGAGAGGTCAAGAGAAGAGAAAGAATACTGGCCTGTGAAAATGTGGGGTGAGATGATTTAAGGACTTTTATCCCAGGATATGGACCTCCCCGGTGGCTCAAGGGTAAAGAATCCGCCTGCAATGCAGGAGACATAGGTTTGATCCTTGGGTTGGGACGATCCCCTGGAGGAGGGCGTGGCAGCCCACTCCAGTGTTCTTGCCTGGAGAATCCCGTGGACAGAGGAGCCTGGGCTGACTACAGTCCATTGGGTCACAAAGAGTTGGATACAACCGAAGCAACTGAGCACCAGACAGCACATGTGAGGTTATGAACTGAATGCATTTAATATTCTTAGAGTCTCTAGTACAAATTTAAATTGTATTCCCTTACACTTTCAGTTGTCAAAGTAGGAAAATACATAAAAGTGAAAATGAGGTAATGAAAGTCACCTATAATTTCACAACCGGGAATTATTTTCCTTTGTTATGTTTCTTTCTAGATTTGTTTTCAAGACACATTTGATTTTCAAATGAAATGTAATTACATTTTGCATACAGTTTTGTAGCCTGTCTGATGCTCATTATTTAGGTTTCCCTACCACATAAAGATGATTATAAAAGGCCTCTGTCATGTTTGGGTACCACCTATAGAACTAGGGATTGTGATGAGCATCTTGGTTCCTCTGGCTAGTGATGCACCTCCACTTTTGATTTTTCCATTTAGGAAACTGATTCCCTTTTACCTTCTCAACCCTTGGAACTGCTATTTCTAGGCTTTTTTTGCTCCAGTGTTCTCATGGTACCAAAGTTAGAGATGAGAGTGGATTAAGGAATAAAAAATTATGGAACCCTAGAAAAATGTTTGTTAATATTTAACTTTTAGGGAGTCTTTTCAATTTGTCTATGACATCATCTAGTGCTTAGTAGTCTTTTTAGAAATGAACAGTGAGAGGTGAGCTCAAGATAATTATATTAAACTTTTATTTAAGATGAAAAATTGTAAGATGAGCAGAATCATTGAGGCTTCTCCATGATTCTTTCACTCTTTTTATTCCCAACTCACAAATCTTGATTTGTACAAATGTATTCACTTTTGACTCATTAAAGCAACGCAAGCTCAAATATTGCTTTATTGTTTTTTTTTTTCCCTCCTAGGCAATAAGTTTATTCTTCTTGGTGGGATTTATAGGAGAGTTTCAAGTTTTTTCAAGGTGAGAATTTTTTTGGATTGTGTGTGGAAATCATGAACAGTTATTTCTTTTATTTTGAGGAAACTATGGTCTGATTTTTACATTGCAGTGTGAGCATGTTTTTCCCTCACACATTTTTTTTCTTTCCACATTTTCAGAAAAGACAATGATATAATAAGCATGTTTTATTCTTATTCTTACTTTATTTTATTCCTTGTGAGGAAGAAACCTGACGATTAAAAACCCCTCAAGATTTTCTGCATTGTAAGCATTGTGAAAGAGTCAGCTCACCATTTTCCACGTGTATTTTATCTGAGTGGAATTATTTGAGCTCAGCTTGCCCCTGTTGTACTTGGGTGTGTGCTTGAGAAAGTGGCCTCAATAAGCAGGCAGAGCATGTAAAACTAAGTTCTCATCCATCTAGCCTGTGCCAGATTTGGATTCCTACCTCTCATGTGGTCATTTTACAGCTTATTGTCTCTCAGTTAAATTTCTGTATAACTCTTCATCATCCAGAATCACTTAAAGGCTGTAACACCTTCCTTCCATATGTTCTCAATTATACCCCTCCTCTGGACACTCTTATCTGTATTTCCACAACACATCATAATGTGCACAATTCTGTTAGTAAGTTTGTCTAATTAGCCATATTGTATTGTGATCATGGGGCTTACCTGGTGGCTCTGTGGTAAAGAATCTGTCTGTCAAGGCAGGAGACTGGGTTCGATCCCTGGGTTGGGGAGATTCCTTGGAGAAGGAAATGGTAACCCACTCCAGTATTCCTGCCTGAGAAATCCCATGGACAGAGAAGCCTGGCAGGCTGTGGTCCATGAGGTCGCAAAGAGTGGGACTTGACTTAGCGACCGAGAACGTGCTGGTCACAGTCACATTGTGATCATATTACTGTGTTATAATTATTTGTTTACACATCTGTGTCTTCTTCCGTTCCTCTATCAATGGTCAGTATCCGATCTCATTTTAAAGCATTATTTATTTATTTATTTATTTTATTTTTGTCTGTCTGGGTCTTCACTGATGCACACAGGCTTTCTCTAGTGGTGAGCAGGAGCTGCTCTTTGTTGGCGTGCTTAGACTTCTCATTCCAGTGGCTTCTCTTGTTTCAGAGCACAGGCTCTGGGCGCTCAGGCTTCAGCAGCTGCAGCACTCGGGCCTAGTTAGTTTTGGCTTGTGGGCTCAGTAGTTTCCCCTTGCAGGCTTAGTTGCTCAGAGGCAAATGGAATCTTCCCGGACCAGCGGTGGAACCTGCTTCCCCTGCACGGACAGGTGGGTTCTTATCCACTGTACCATCAGGGATGTCCTATCCTATCTCTTTTATGTCTATAGCTCTAGGGTCTAAATAGTGCCTGGAACATTCTAGATATCTTATAAATGATATTTAATAAATCTCTGAAAAAGTGAGCCCCTCCTATATATTTTTTAATGTATTTTGAGATCCTTGTGGTGAAGCAAAAATTGCTTCACAATTTTTGACTGCTTTTGACTATTCTTGACTATTGTTTATGTCTTCTGTCTTACCTTTCTGTCGGCTTTATAATGGACGATTCAACACTATGACAGTGCCTCCTTGCCAATCAACTGCCAGTGGGGTTCCTATGCTCCTTGGTCAGAATGCAATGGTTGTACCAAGACTCAGGTAGGACCATGTGAAAACTTAATATTTTTTATTCATATGCCAAAATAGCTTAGGTATGAACAAAATGACATTAACTTTTGAATGTTACTTTTTATGGTTTTTGAAAGTGTAATTAGTAATTCTGAAGGGGAAAAGTATGATTTATTTAATAATTAATACTGTAGTAGAGTTTTTTTGCAGTCTCATTTTTCTTGAAGGACTTTTCTAAATACATTTGAGCCTAGAAATATACATGGGAGAGAAGCTAAAAGCTACTCACTTATTCTTTCATTATCAGAGAAATAGAATAGCTTGAAATGAAGTCAGTAAATAATTCAAAATTTCATATTTCCTGGATCCAACTTTTCATTTGAAACAAACACTAAGAGTAGCAAAATCATTGCTTCATTTAACCTAACAAATAGTGAATGACCATGGAAAGTCAAACATTTTTCAATGTTTTAAAAGTCGTCCCCTTCTCCTCCTGCCCCCAATCCCTCCCAGCATCAGGGTCTTTTCCAATGAGTCAACTCTTCGCGTGGGGTGGCCAAAGTATTGGAGTTTTAGCTTCAGCATCAGTCCTTCCAATGAATACCCAGGACTGATCTCCTTTAGGGTAAATTAAAAAAACATAATGCTGTTTCAAAGGTTCTGAACATTTGAATGGCTAATTTTTTTTATTGAGATACAGTGACATATAACATTAATTTCAAGTATACAACATGATTTGATATTCATAAAGCATTTTAAAAGTAGTTCAGTTTAGATAAAAATGTGTGTTTAAAAATCATTTAGAAGTACTAAAAGAACCATATTATAGAAGATAATTTATGTTTGGAAGCATCATCATTATCACAATTTTCAAGCATTTATTTAGTATCTACATGAGGGGTATTTACAAAATAAATTACACAAGTGTAGAATTTGGCTTCTGGCAAATACAATAGATGACAACTCTGATTACAGGCAAACAGGTGCATGAATAACAAGATAAAATTCAAACAAACACCAACCTCAGAAAACAGTTTTAGAATTTAAAAACAAGCTAAGAAAGAACATTAAATAGAGGTAGATAGAAGGTGCTCTTCATATGAGTAATTTTTTTTGAGGGAAGGTCATTATGCTCAGATTATAAAAACAGAATTTTCATCCAGAAGGAGACAAGTGAAAATGAAAATAAGGTTATGAGATCAGAATTTGACAGGCGAGAATGAGACGCTGAGAGTAGGCAGCCATCAAGGTCATGCTGGTGTCTGTGGAGAAGGAAAACATTACTTACACAACAACACAATCTATGCTCTGGAACTTCAGAAAAGCACACATTTCTAAGCCATGTATAAGCGATGTCTTCAATTAAATACAGAAACTAAAAACTTAACTGGGAAACTACTGAGCTCCATTCCTCACTCATTTCTCCATGACGTCTCTGCTTAGATGCAAAGAAATGTGCCAGAACCAGGCCCAGGCCGGTGCAAACCTGCTCAAAGTTCAATTTACATGTCGTCTCAATTAGGATGAATGAATAGATGCAACCTTGGTTTATAAATATATATAGTCTTCCCTGTTGGTCTTTGCTCAAGGTTTAAACTTTCTGGGATCTCAGATTTTGCCCATTTTTATTAATGGGTAAGATTAATAAATGGAAAAGAGGCTTAAAAGATGTACCTTTGATTGCCTTTGGAGAGGAAAAGGATTTTATAAATCTTTCTTTTTGTTTAAACACTAGATACATGTCTTCATATTGAGTAAATGAAGTTTAGGTGAATTAGTTTTCACATTTGGCTTAGTGATTTCCCCTAATTTTTTTTACCCCCACCCCCAGCATGTGCATTTGATATATTTCTAATTTCATAGATCAGTGATTTTGGATTTCCAGTGAAGTTTCATTGTAGATGTACCTTCATCTGTGGACCACTTAGGCTTCTGTTTTGTAAATTTGACTTTCATGGTAGCCTGTATCTATCTCTTTCTGGACTGTTTTGCCTTCCTGAAGAAGGCTTAAGGTTCAGCTCAAATCAATTTCCACCACTTTTCTAAAGGTTTCCCGAACTCCACTTCATCTTAGCTCCCCTTTCCAGTACCCTTACTTTTCCTCCAGCAAAATTCACTTCATCTTTTCTAGTTAACCCTTGGTACATTGCTTTGGTGAAAAATGAATCATTCTGTATTGTGATCTATTTGCTTATAGTTCTGTCCAGAATTCTTTCTTAAAGATTCACTATTTTATTTTTTCACTCAACCCTAAGTGTAAATATAAACTGGGAGTGCTCTAGAAATAATAACCCGAGTGTCACCAGACTCAAAGACAAGTGGGTTTCTGGATTCATTGATTTTGGACATTTTACTTCTGTAGTACACCAGAAAAATTCTATGAATGTCATTTCTCCAAGTGTATTAATTTATCTCAGATTTTATTTCTCAGATAAAGGAACGTGGAAATACTAGAAATCTATATGTTTTGTATTTAGACTCGCAGGCGATCAATTGCTGTTTATGGACAGTATGGTGGCCATTCCTGTGTGGGAAGTGCTTTTGAAACACAGCCGTGTAAACCTACTCGAGGATGTCCAACAGAAGAGGGATGTGGAGAACGTTTCAGGTGTTTCTCAGGTATTTGCTTCTCATAGGCTCAGCATGCAGAGGGTAAATTCAAATGCTATTTGTTAATCTTGCTCAGTATATACTTGTTGAGTTGTACTGCATTTATATTAGCCTATACCAGTTTTCACCCAAATTGGTTGGATTTTTATTGGCATATTATTTTCATTCTCAACTATCATCCTTTCAAATGCATGGGTGGCATCTGGTAATAAAGATGGGGATACTCTTTGAAAAGAAACATGGCTGTTGACAGACCCAAACAGTTATTGACATTGCATTTTTGGTTAAGATGTAGAAGGAGACTGGAATAAAGACTGAAGTCAAGCAAAAACAATATTACTGCCCAAATTATTTTTATGCTTACAAGAAAATTAACTCTAATTAGTTAATAAAGGAGTGATACAGGTCATCCCTATGCATAGGAGACTGAAACGTAGTTTTGGATTGAATATTATTTGACCTCTTGTCTTGGGCTTCCCAGGAGACCCTAGTGGTAAAGAACCCTCCTGCATCTCCTGCAGGAGGTGTAGGGGACATGGGTTCAATTCCTGATTTGGAAAGATTCCCTGGAGGAGGGGGCATGGCAACCCACTCCATTATTCTTGCCTGGAGAATCCCGTGGACAGAGGAGCCTGGTGGACTATGGTCCATAGAGTCACAGAGAGTTGGACACAATTGAAGCAACTTAGCAGGCATGCACTATGTTGCATTTGTGCAGACAGGTAATTCAACAACTTTTAGCAAGCATTTATTATTCTTGTTATGTTCAGATACAGAAATGAGGGTTATGGATGTAGAATGAAACAGCCTCTTCCCTCAAAATTCTTAGTTTTATGGGCAGAATAGTACATAAAAAATTCCTGTGTTAGAAGTGTTTCTCAACAATACCTCTCAAACTCCTATTTTAATTTCAAAACCCAGGTCAGATGATGCCTCCTTAGGGAAACCTTTCCTAAACACCCAACTGATAGAGCTACTTAACAAACTACTTTCCATGTTTTCCTTGTGCATTGTATCATCTGTAATCTGAAGTATATGTTGCCCTGGGTATCTCTTGGTAGACTGTGAATTCCTTGAAGATGTGGATTCTACTTCTTTTATTTTTTTCATCTGGAGTGTGTAGTACATAGTAGACTCTCAACAAATGTTTGTTGCATTGGATCAAATGACAGCATAGTGGGATGGGCTATCAGGACAGTTTTGTGTGATGCTTGCTATAAGGACACAGATGAAGGACATACATCAGTTTGTGGGGGAGGGGTGGTTTTTGAGAGAAGATAATATATGATCTGATGTTTGAAGGACAAGTAGGCAAGAGGTAGAGAAACACCTTTGAGGTTGAGCAAACTATCTGCAAAGTAAGTGGAGATGGCAAAAAAGATTGACCTTTGATTTATGTAAGTGATCCGGTATGACTAAGGTGTAAGCAGCTGGCAAGAGAATGGCTGGAGATGATGCTGGGGAGGGAGGCAGGGGCTAGATCATCTGGTACCTCTACTGTTTCCTCATGTGCTTCTGTTACTCCCAGCTTGTGTCTATCATGACAGTTATACTGCTGAATTGCAATGCTCTATTTTCACACTCTTTCCTGTTAGATTGTAAAGTGTATGAAAAGCCTGGTGAATCCCTTTTCACTTGCATCCCAACACCCAGGAGTGTCTAGAACAAAGAAGGTGCTAAATAAATGTTGAGTTTTAGTTTTTTAATCGAATCCCCATGCTCTCAAAGCATATATATTTAAAATACCAAGAAAGGCAGGACTTCGACATCTTCGTCAGTGATTTCAGGAAAGAAATCAAAAGAAATCAAGTTGAAGAGCAGGAAATAATCTGTCTTCCCAATGGTTGACCTTGTATGATTTTGGAGAATGCAGACCAAAGTGCTTGATGGCTGTGGATAAGAGCCTGGAATTAGAATTTGGGTTCTATTTTCAATTTTATTGTTCATGGAAGGTCAGCATCAATTTTGCATGTTGCAAAATGAGGACCAAAATAATCGGCATTCCTTCCTTGGGCAGTGAGGATTTATCTTAAATTCGCACTAGAGTATCAGTACTACATTGGGAGCCCAGGCTGAAACCTTTTGATCCCGGGTAGTGTTTTCCTTTTTTCCTCTTTTATTTTTGTGTGGTGGCTTGTCTTGTGCTCAGGTCAGTGCATCAGCACGTCTTTGGTTTGCAACGGGGATTCTGACTGTGAAGAGGATGGTGCTGATGAAGACAGATGCGAGGATGCAGAAAGCAGACCTGCCTGTGACCGTGATAAACCTCCTCCCAACATAGAGCTCACTGGACTTGGGTAAGGTGCTGGGCTAGATCTACAGGATGTAGTTTTCATTTTGTTGTGTTTTATTCTGTGGTTTGGTAAATCTAATAGCAGATCAACTAATAGTCAACCTTTGCTTAGAACTCTTTGCCACATCCTGAAACATTAAAAAAATTCCTACATATGCACCTGTAAGTGTATGCGATAAAACATAGAAGGACCAGTTGTCCCTGGCGTATCCTGGGTTTAGCACTGAGAATCCTGCATCCAAGGAAACCCCTCAGACCTGGGAAAACCTGGCCAGTGAGTCACCCTATGGAAGAGGGAGATAGGGAGAACTAATTCAATGATGTGGGCTATTTAAGGGAATTCAGAGACCATAGAATGAGAGTGGTGGAAGAAAAGAGAAAGTGTGCTGGGCCCTTTGGGATGAAAAGAAATTGTCTCAGCTAGCTGGGAACTTTCAAGTGAAGTTAGAGTGATCCTCTTTGCCATTTCAAAAAGAATTCTGAAAAACTTTTAAAGGTCAGGCTCAAGTTAAGTTTCCAAGGTTTTAAGATAATCTCTGAGACTGATAAGTGTGAAATTTGTTAACAGAAAAGTGGTAAAATTACTCCAAAGAGTATACCAGTTAGCATGTTCAAGGGCCAATTAGTTGAAATTCATTTGTAGCCAGTTCTGTCTCCTCAAGAGTAATCTTAATTGTATTGATTTTATCTAAAGATACAATTCAAAACCAGCTGTTGCCATAGATACAAAAGAGCTGTGAGTTTCCTAGATCTGTTCTTAGGCTAAAAGGATCTTGGGTTTCCCCATCTATTAGCGTTAGCCATTATACCAGTCAGGGGGAGGTGGTAATGTATGGTGTGCTTTAGGAGGCTTTTATTTGAGATCGCCCAGAGATGCTTAATTGTAATGTGTTTCAAGAATATCCAGAGTTCACTATGTTTCAGCAACTGCTATTTCTGGTTTTTAACAGCCTTTTCTTCTTTCATTTTTTTTTTTTTAACAGTTATAATGCGCTAACGGGCCAGTTTAGAAACCAAGTCCTCAATACCAAAAGTTTTGGTGGTCAGTGCAGAAAGGTATATAGTGTGGATGGGAGAGATTTCTATAGATTGAGTGGAAATATCCTCTCCTACACATTCCAGGTACTTAATTACAGATTTAATTTCTTTCTAGTCTGTAAATTGTTACCAGAGATCATTATTTATGATATTGATCTTTTTGATATTTTCTTGAGAGTTTACTTGTAGCCTCATATGCGATCAGTTCTTATAAATGTCTTATATGAGCTTAAAAAGAATACATTTTCCTTTTAAAAATGTTTTATTTATTCATAAACATTTTAAAATTTTTATACAGTTTTTAAAGGTTATTTCCCATTTACAGTTGTTAAAAAAAACACTGGCTATATTCCCTGTGTTTTACAATACATCCTTGAGTCTATCTTACACCTTCTACTAGTTTGTACCTCCTACTTTCCCCCTCCAGTTTTGCCCCCTTCCCCACCCCCTCCACTGGTAACCCCCAGTTTGTTTTCCTTATCTGTGAGTTTACTTCTTTTATGCTATATTCTCTAGTTTAAGAACACATATTCTTTAACTCCGGGGTACAGGGCAATAATACTTTTAATTTGTGTCATTCTGCTGAAATATCTATTGTCTCATTTTCAATTCCATGCTCCCACAACCTGATGGTCTGTCCCTGTGTGGGTGTTAAAACTCAAGACTCTGGTCATAATCGATTGTGATAATTTCCTAACCACTGCCGTGGTTAAAAATGCATTTATTTTTTAATTTATTTTTTTACACAGATGTTCATAGCAGCTTTGTGATAACTAAAAACTGACAACAATCCTAAAAGTGAATAGATATTACATCCATACAATGCAATACTACCCAGCAATGCAAAGGAATGAGCTACTCATACACACTACACCATGGATGAATCGCAAGTTATGCTGAATTAAAGTAGCCCACAAGTACATACTGTATGATACCACTTATATAACATTACTTAAAAATGCAGAATAAGGAATTCTCTGGTGGTCCTTTGGTTGGGACTCCATGCTTTCGCTGTGGAGGTTGGGGGGAGGTCAGTCCTTGGTGGGGGAACTATCTTTAGCTGCAGGGAACTATCTTTAACTCTGATATGGTAGATCCCAAATTACTTCTATATCTGAAGCCTCCATTTGGCCACCAGGGTAATGATGTCACCCAGTGGATTCTCTTCCACTGTTCAGAGTGCCAGGAGCACGTTCCCTGTAATATTCAGGATATCCCCTCCAAAACAGAGCAGACACTCCAGGATGTCACTGATGTAATAACTCCTGAAGACCAGTGGGTAGGGAAGCAGCACTGCCAATGGGGCTTCTGCTGGCCATAGAGTCTCCCCCTGGTGGCAGCAGGTCTGGCGGCCAAGTATGCTTTTATTTTTAAATTATGAAATATTTCATATGTACAGAAGACTGTGAATAATATATACTTGCAGTTTGGAGAAAACTAATAAGATCAAACCAGTCAATACTAAAGGAAATCTATCTTGAATATTCATTGGAAGGACTGATGCTGAAACTCCAATACCTTGGCTACCTGATGCGAGGAGCTGACTCATTGGAAAAGAACCTGATGCTGGGAAAGACTGAGGGCGGGAGGAGAAGGGGACAACAGAGGATGAGATGGTTGGATGGCATCACCGACTTAACGGACATGAGTTTGAGCAACCTCCAGGAGATAGTGAAGGACAGGGAAGCTTGGTGTGCTGCAGTCCACGGGGTTGCAAACATTTGGACACGATTTAGCAACTGGGCAACAAAACAATTATACTAATAGGACTCATGTAGGCCCAGGACCCACCTTAAGAAACAGAGTATTGCCAGTGACTTAAAGGCTCCCATCTACCCCTCTCTGTCACATCCTCTCCACTGGTACAGCCCGTGTAGCCACTATCTTACATTTTGTGTTGATATAATCACTTCCTTGTTTTCCTGTATGTGTTTATCCCGTGTGTCTTTATCCTAAAGAAAAATTTGTGATTTAGTTTCGCTTATTCTTTGCCACTTACACAGATAAATCATGTAGTATGTTTTCTTCTGTGAATTGTTCTTTCACTCAATTAGTTTTGAAATTTATTCATGCTGACATAGATGGTATTTTTACTACTGTTTCCTTTTTCTTATGAAAATGCCTTAAATGTTCTTGTGCATGAGTTGTTTCATGCCGATGAGCTAGGGTTTCTCTAGGGCAAACACTTGGAACTCAAATGGCTGCCTTGTAGGTTATGTATAGGTTATATTTTACTAAAGTTTCCAAAATGGATATATATATATATATGGTCCATCTATACTCCACCAGCAGTGTGGAAGAGAGACCTGTGCTCCACATCATTGCCAGCATCTGTATTCCAGGCTTTTAAACTTCATTTATAAACTTCGAGGTCTCCTCTGCTTCTTGTGGGCTGTTTCTGTCATAGACACTACCGAAACTCATCCTGTTCCTTCTTTTCCACACAAAATCTACTCAGACAAAAGCGTAATGGCTTTAGGGGAAATTCCTGAAGATTTAAAGGGAACATAGAGATTTTCTGCTGTAGCGATGCCAACTCATTCAACAACAACAGTTGCGGTCTTCCATCTTAAATTGTCTGTCCTTCCACAATCTCATGGAGAAGGCAACGGCAACCCACTCCAATACTCTTGCCTGGCAAATCCCATGGACCGAGGAGCCTGGTAGGCTGCAGTCCATGGGGTTGCAAAGAATCGGACACGACTGAGCAAGTTCACTTTCACTTTTCACTTTCATGCACTGGAGAAGGAAATGGCAACCTACTCCAGTGTTCTTGCCTGGAGAATCCCAGGGACGGCGGAGCCTGGTGGGCTGCCGTCTAGGGGTTGCACAGAGTTGGACGTGACTGAAGTGACTTAGCAGCAGCAGCCACACCCCAGCAAAAAGAAGTTTCTGTTCTCATCCTGTTTTAGCCTGTTTCTTGCTCTTCTTTTCCAAGGTTTCCTCTCTCATGCCTTTCCTTTCATCTTCCAAGAACTCAAAATTTTCCAGTTCAACCCTCTTTACTGATTACTACCAAATTTGTAAAGCAAAACTATTAGAATATTCAGAGGGAAGGGTCTTTACTTTACCAAAATTAACCATCTTCAGAAAGCAGTTCTGATTATAAGGAGCAAATCCACCAACCTCCAACTTATAATGGAATTAAGTTACATTTAAAAATTATTGAATCATGAAAATGGAAAGTGGAACAGATCTGAAAAATGATCATAGCTACCAAGTTATGAATATCTCTGGTGGCATCTGCACTATTTTAAGAAATTTGTATAATTTTAATCACAATATCTTCACAATATCTATGGAAGGGAAGTAATATTTTACTGTTTTATGTAAGTAGAAATCAAGGCTCAGAGGACTTCAACTGACTTGCTGTAAGTCACTAAATTAATAAGTAGCAGGGCTTAGGACTTGGTTCCAGCATGTCCCAGGTGGTGCTAGTGGTAAAGAATTTGCCTGCTAATGCAGGAGATCTAAGAGACATGGGTTTGATCCCTGGGTTGGGAAGATCTCCTGGAGGAGGGCATGGCAACCCACTCCAGTGTTCCTGCCTGGAGAATTCCTTGGACAGAGGAGACTGTCGGGCTACAGTCCAGAGGGTCGCACAGAGTTGGACGTGGCTGAAATGATTTAGCACACACTCCAGTATGTCAGACTTCACAGCCCTTCACTTTTCCAGGATATTTTACTCTCCCTGTGCTGTGCTTAGTTGTTTTCTGTGACCTCATGGACTGTAGCCCAGGAGGCTCCTCTGTCCATGGGGATTCTAAGCAAGAATATTGGAGTGGGGTGCCATGCCCTCCTCCAGGGGATCTTTCCAACCCAGGGGTTGAACCCAGGTCTCCCACACTGCAGATTCGTTACCATCTGAGCCACCAAGAAAGCCCAAGAATACTGGAGTGGGTAGCCTATCCATTCTCCAGAGGATCTTCCTGACCCAGGAATCAAGCTGGAGTCTCCTGCATTGCATGTATATTCTTTATCAGCTGATCTACCAGGGAAGCCCATTTTATTCTTCCAATATATTGTATTAAATGCTTTTTTAACTTTAGATTCTACCATGGTAAAAAACATGTATTGTAATTTATCCTTTGGCCTCAAGGGAGAATGTGAGGTAGGTATATGCAGAGAGATTTTTCTCCTCTTATTCCTAGGGTAATGTGTTGATAATGCTTTCATTATTATGAGGGGGAGAAGAGTGTGCGTGTGTGTGTGTGTTTGTGTGTGTGTATGTGTATACATACACATACAGAACAGAAGAAATAATAAGGGAGAGGACTTTTGACATGGTTGGAAGGAAGACATGTTGGAAGCCTGCCACTTCTGAAGAAGAAAAATAATTTAATAACAGCATAATCCTGCCATTCGTTTTTCACAGCATGGCTTGGTTTTTGGATTGACATCTGAAATGCCTTTTCAGTCGCTGAATTTGAAGGAATGTTTGTCAGAGGTAGAGGGAAATTATAGCCTGTTATTGAGTGTAGAGTAGAGATGTTTTGAGAATCCAGCCAGAGGGAAGTGAGGTGGAAGTAGCAGTCAGTGAGTCAGTCAAGCAAGTGCGAAACCCAGGTGCCAATATGGAGGTGGTCGACGTTCTCTTCAGTTCAGACAGACTGGGGGCCACTGTGGATTCAGCCCTCTCCAGGTAGAACATGACTTTTGGCTTGTTGGAATATAAACATTAGTAAATAAACAGAAAACAGAATCAGTCAATCTCTCTTCTAATCTCTGTTTTGGAAATCAGCTTGAGAGCTTATACAGGACAAACCCCGTTTCTTACCAAGTAGGCCACTTACTTTGAAGCTATGCATGTTCTCTGTTTGCTCATGTTTTTCACACTGCAAGGGAGCCTTTGAAACTCAAGCACATTCCTGCTCCATGGCCACTTTGGGAAGGTGCCACCCTGCTTAGTTCAGCTTGGGACATGCTGAAAGACAGTCTTGTGTATTCTCAGCATGTAATGAGTTGCAGATGGGAGTAAGCAAAGATCAGGGTGGAGAAAATAACTTTCTGGATCCTCCTGTTTTGGTCTTGGATGTACTTCATAATATTAAAAATTTTATTGACATATAACTGATTTGCAATATTGTGTTAATTTTTGGTGTATAGCAAAGTGACTCT